CCTGGCCACGAGGGCACAGTGCTGGCTCAAATATTGTCAGCCCTGGTTTGGGCTGACAATATTGAGAAGCCCTGAAACTGGGAGGACCTGAGCTGTGAGTCCCCAGATAACGTGTCTTAGACTTTGACTGCCTCTCCCTGAGCACCCTCAGTGTGTATCTGTTGATGATTGGCAAAACCTTGGGTACAACTTCAGCCTCCACTGCGCTTCTCTCATTGCCCATCAGATGTGGATGGATGACAAGGAGCCCAGCAATGAAGAGTCTGTACCCAAGAATCCTTCTTTAATTTCCATTGGAGAAGAAAATAGAGTAAAAGAAACTGTTAAAAGACCATCTGGCTTCTTCCTTCCCTCCTAACTCGTCGTTGACAGTTAGCATGTTGCACCTTTACTCTGGTTATTTTAATACCTCTTCTCCTGAGTGCTCGTGTGCATGTTGAGCTGAGTCTCCCTTTTCAGGTTTGGTTTTATTTTTAACAGCTGTCCTCAGAGTGCCTAAAATCTGCCTTTCTGCTCCAAGTCTCTTTTCTATCCCTGCTCCCTCCCCAGAGCAAGGCAGGAGGCTGGTGTGTTCTGGGAGTGTCCTGCCTTTCCTCTTGATTTGTCCAGTTACTCCAGAAATTTTCCACTTGTGTCCCAGTTTTGTTTCACTGGCTCATCAAAGGCTCAAGTATTTTCTCTTCCAAAAGTTTTGTCTTTCTTTTACTCATCTTTCTTGGAATATTTCTGGTTTATTTCTCCTTTCTGGGGTACTTTGTGTCAGCTTTGTAGAAGTTTCTACTGAGCCATTCAAATCCTTCACCGTTACCTGGACCATCTGTATGTGCACCTCACTCAGTGTGCTGAGCTTTTGTGCTTTGCTGTGAGAAACTGCTTAATATGTTGGTTTCATGAAACTTAACTTTACCAGGCAGGTTGTTGAGATACTGAGTTGTTCATCCAAGAGGAATTTGGGAATCAGAATTGCAACAAGAAAATAATAATCTTTATCTTCTGTATTGTTTTGTTTTCTTCTTACACTTCTCTCTCTGTTGACAGCCATACCAGTGCAATTCTGCTTATATCCTGGTTTTTGGGTTTTTGTTTTTTTTTAAATCCTTGATAAATTTCCTGATTTTTTTTCCCAAAAACCTTGGGCCAAGTACTTTTAAATGGAAAAGCATATTTTCTAAGTCTTATTTCAGGATGTTACATGTACAGTCTTTTCCCTATTGCACTGTTGGAGGAAAAGCTTTTTTAGATCCTCTCCCTACTGTGTTTGTTGGATTTTAGCAGAGCTAACTCTGTTTTAACATGGATGACTTAAATTTTCTTTACAATTGGGAACAGGCTTTATATTTCATTTAGTTTTCACTCTTGAAAATATTTGGTATCCAGGCAGATTATCCAAATCCATAACCAAGAGGTTATCAAAATGGCATGGATAAAAAAATCCCCTAAGAGGTGCAAACTCAAATTAGCAACAGGGTGAGAGGAAGAGAAATGGGAATGTGTTTGTCCTCCTTGGCTGTCTGTGTCCCAGTGAGCTGGGGGGATCCTTGGGAGGATTTCCTACCTTGTAGACTTTCCTTTTGCTGTGTCTAATCTCAGCTTAGAGGAAGTGGAAGGGAGTCCTGGATGTTTCTCACCCTCAGTTCCCAGTTTCCACCTGAAGATGTGTGTTAAACAGCACAGGAATACGCTCAATTTGTTGTTAAATAAGAAACATTTTGTCTTGATAATATAATTTTTGCCTTCTTCCACCCTTGCTTCTCCTTCCTCTTTGTTGCACAAGGTTTAAGGAAGAAGAACCTGTCCCCTGGAGCTGTGGAATCTGATGTCAGGGGAATAACAGGAGTGGATTTGTTTGGGACAACGGATGCGGTTGTGAAGCACGTTCTCGAGGTACAGTGTCACTGTGTGCAGTACAGCCTTTTAAAATTCATTTCATGAAATCTCTACGACACAAACCACCCTTCTGTGAGGGTGGTCAGACACTGGAACAGGTTGCCCAAGGAAGTTGTAGATGTCCCCTCCCTGGAAGTGTTCTCAGCCAGGTTGGATGAGGCTTTGAGCAACCTGGTCTAGTGGAAGGTGTCCCTGCTGCTGGCAGGGGGGTTGGGACTGGATGAGCTTTAAGGTCCCTTCCAATCCAAACCAGTCTGGGATTCTATGATCCTCTAAAAGCCTAGAAAAGTAGTGGAGGGAAAAAAAAAGAGTTGAAACACCTGGCTCAACTCCATAGTTATGTACTCTTGTAGGTTATTTTGCATTATTTTTTCTGAGTTTAAAATCTGAAATCTGGAGATGTTTGCGCTGTAACCGACCAGATCAGATTTTCTCTGTACAGCCCAAAGCTCAGTTAAATAGGAGATGTTGTTACTTTGTATTACTGGAAACAATGGAGATTATGGTAGAGACAAGTAAAGGCTTGTTAAAGCTGGGAAGTGCTGCTGCTGAGCTTCAGCTTTGCTCTCCTGATGAAGAACGATATCTGCAAAGCTTATTATTGCAGACATCTCTAATCTCCCTGTCTGTAAGCAGCACGCTGTACAGAAATACTGCAAGCTGTGTCTTGGCAAACCTGTCTGGAGGGTGGTTTTTTTTTTTTTGGTTGCTTCATCCTTCTTTTGCTTATTCCATTCAGTCACCAGGTTTTTTTTGCCTGTAGGGTCACGATCGTGGGGTGAACTGGGCTGCTTTCCACCCGACCATGCCGCTGATTGTGTCAGGAGCTGATGATCGGCAAGTGAAGATCTGGAGGATGAATGGTAAGAGGATTCTTCAGGGGGAACTCACGGGGAGAAGGGGGTTAAGAGTTGAACATGAGTCACCAGCATCTGAATATGAGTCAGCAGAGCACTCAGGTAGCCAATAAGGCCAACATCATCCTGGCCTGGATCAGGAACAGTGACCAGTAAGACCAGGGCAGTGATTGTCCCCCTGTCCTGGGCACTGGTGAGGCTGCAGCTGAAGTGCTGGGTTCAGTTTTGGCCCCTGAGTCCAAGAAGGACATGGAGGTGCTGGAGTGTGTCCAGAGAAGGGAACGGAGCTGGGGAAGGGTCTGGAGCACAAGTGTGCTGAGTTCCCGGCTGAGGGAACTGGGGGTGTTGAGCCTGGAGAAAAGGAGGCTGAGGGGAGACCTTGTGGCTCTGTCCAAGTCCCTTGGAGGAGGGTGGAGAGAGGTGGGGGTGGGTCTGTTCAACCAAGGCCCAAGGGACAGGACAAGAGGAAATGGGCTCCAGTTGTGGCCAGGGCAGTTGAGATGGGATGTGAGGAAGAATTTCTTTGCTGCAAGGGTTCTGAGGCATTGGAAGGGGTTGCCCAGGGCAGTGGTGGAGTCCCCATCCCTGGAGGGATTGAAGAGTCGTGTAGACACAGTGCTGAGGGACTAGAATCCCAGAATCCCAGATTGGTCTGGGTTGGAAGGGACCTTAAAGCTCATCCAGTTCCAACCCCCCTGCCAGCAGCAGGGACACCTTCCACTAGACCAGGTTGCTCAAAGTCTCATCCAACCTGGCCGAGAACACTTCCAGGGAGGAGCAGCCACAGCTTCTCTGGCCAACCTGTTCCAGTGTCTGACCACCCTCACAGTGAAGAATTTCTTCCTAAATAGTGTTTGCTAGTGTTTGCTGTGCTGCTATTGCAGAGCTTAACCTGTTTAAGCATTATTTTCCTTATTTCTTTTCCACTTCTGGTTAGAATCGAAGGCCTGGGAGGTTGACACTTGCCGGGGGCATTACAACAACGTCTCCTGTGCTGTCTTTCACCCACGGCAGGAATTAATCCTCAGCAATTCAGAAGACAAGAGCATCCGTGTCTGGGACATGTCTAAACGGTTAGTGATTGTCAAACACCTGACTCACTCTTATTCTGGTAGTTTTTATAGGTGTGAAAGACCCAACACTAGCAGTTGTTAGAACATCAGTGCTGGTGTTTGATAATTCATGAGGGAGAAGTCCTGTTTTTCATATTTTCTATCCCTTTGAGACATGTGTTAAGAGCAAAGCTTGTCTGGAAGCAAGTGGAGGAGGGCTGACTTGTTTCATGATGCTGCTGCTGAAAATATGTTAAATGAGAATATATTCTGTGACAGAAGGTTTTGAAGAGAGTTTTTTGAGCTCTCAGTGGACTCCTTATGCTGATTGAAGATGGTCTGTATGGCAAAGCTTAGGATCTTCATTCTGGGAATGGTACTTTATATCAAGGTTTCCATTTTATTTCTATTTCTTACTCCTTTTGTTACATATTTAGCACGGGTGTCCAGACCTTTCGACGTGATCACGATCGCTTTTGGGTATTGGCTGCTCATCCCAACCTCAACCTCTTTGCTGCAGGTAAAAAAAAAGGACCCATTCAATGTCTTTAACATGTTGTTGTGCAGAGAAAATATGTTCCTTAGAGGATTTCTTGTAGGCCCCCAATACCTGAAGGGGGCCTACAAGAAAGCTGCGGAGGGATTTTTCCTAAGGGCAACTAATGACAAGACAAGAGGAAATGGGTTTAAACTGAAAGAGGGGAGGTTTAGATGAGATATTAGGAAGTTGTTCTTCACTGGGGGGGTGGTCAGACACTGGCCCAGGTTGCCCAGAGAAGCTGTGGCTGTTCCTCCCTGGAAGTGTTGAAGGCCAGGTTGGATGAGGCTTTGAGCAACCTGGTCTAGTGGAAGGTGTCCCTGCTGATGGCAGGGGGGTTGGAACTGGATGATCTTTAAGGTCCCTTCCAACCCAAACCAGTCTGTGATTCTATGATTCTATGATTTGTTTTTCTTTAGCACCTTTTGCAGAACACACTGACTTGCAGATGCTTTTATTAAATGTATTTTAGGGAAAAAAAATCCTTATTTAGTGGAACACAATTTCCTTGTTTCTGCTGCAGTTCAAAGCTGGAACACAGCAGCCTCTGCATTAATGAGGTAAATGTTTTAAGATGAAGAAGGGATGGGACAGATCCTAGAGGAACCCACACTGGGCTGTAAACACTTAAAGAAGAGCATGACAGTGATGCAGAGTGTTTTTAGACAAGCTTTTAAAGTCAGATTTTAAATTAGGAAACCTAAAAGGAGGTGGACCCTTAGGAGAGAAGTGGAATCACTTAATTCAGGCTGAGGAGTAGCAGACATGGCTGGTGGGTCATCAGTTATGATTTTTATTGTCCCTTTCTTGGTTTGAAGGGTTTGATTAGTGTCATCTTCATAATGAGAGAAACCCCCCAGGATTTAATTGGCATGTTTGAATTCTCACATGCTTTTTCTTAGGCCATGATGGTGGCATGATTGTGTTCAAACTGGAGAGGGAGAGACCTGCTTATGCTGTGCATGGGAACATGCTCTATTATGTCAAGGACCGTTTCCTTCGCCAGCTGGATTTCAACAGTTCCAAAGACGTCGCTGTCATGCAGCTGAGAAGGTAGGAGATGGCTGCTCATCATCTTACAAAAGGTTTTGCCAGGATCCTGAATCCATTGTTAATTTTTTCCTTACAAATAGGTCCTGTTGTTTTATTCACCTACCTCAGATTTTGGTAGAAATAATCCTGGTCCATTCGAACTTCCTCTTTTCTTCATGACTCTTCTTCAGTTTCAACTGACTTTTCTGTCAGGTGAATTTATACAAAGCCTACCAGAAGTTTTTTAGGTCAATTTTTACCTGTGCATAGATGAATATTTTTTTTTAACTAGTTTGAAGTTTCAAACCAACATGCCAACTCTTTCATTTATGAAACTCTGATGTTCTTACAGTGTTTCCAAGTGATTTTGCTTCAGGAAATTAATCAAAAATGAGCTTTTCTGGGACTTGGTATATTTCAGAAAATGAAGAGTGTTTATCAGAAGGTGACTTTGGTAGAAATCATCCTACTCCACTCTTAACTTTCTCTTTTCTTCATGACTCTTCTTCAGTGGTTCCAAGTTCCCTGTGTTCAACATGTCCTACAACCCAGCTGAGAACGCTGTCCTTCTCTGCACAGTAAGTCATTTTTGCTACATAATGTGCTAAAGAACTTTCCCCTGAGGCTGTGAAAGTTGGTTCTGGATAAGATTTTTATCTCAAAATGGGTTTTTTTCCTCCTCTCTGCAGAGAGCCAGCAACTTAGAGAACAGTACTTATGACCTCTACACCATTCCCAAGGATGCAGACTCCCAGAATCCGGATGGTAGGCATTTCTTATTTCACATTAATCCTTCTGAGTGTTTTATTACTCTCCTCCTCTGCTCTCCAACTGTGTGTTTATGTTATATATATATATATAAAAAAAGCCCAATTTCTCTAAGCCTCTTTTGTTGGATTTTTTCCTCTGTGTTTCCCACTATCCCTGCAGCACACATCATTTGGCAGGTTTCTTGCTCACTATATCACAGTACACTGACTTGAAAAATTCATGTTCATCCCAAACTTTTACTGCTACAAATATATATTTTATAATTTTGTTATTAGGGAGCTTTCCATTCTCCCTTTCGAAGCAGCAGGCAGCCTTCCTGGCTTGTCAACAGAGATGGATTTTAACTCAATATATTTTGTTCTATGAGGTTTTATACTCTGAAAAGTGGCTGTAAAAGTGACAGTGCCAGGGTGCCAATAGTCATTCTTCCTCTCTGCAAATTCCAGATCAGTTTTATGCAATTTACAAGTCAAAACATGATTTAGGGAAAAAAAAAAATTAAAAAAAAATAATTCTTTCTCCTAACTATGAATTCCATTTGGGATCTGAAACTCCAGCTGGTTCCTCCTGCCTCTGTCATCATGGCAGTAAAGGTTTTGAAATGAGTGGGAGTGATGAATGAGTTAGACTGGAACCCAGCTCACTTGTTCCTAGATTTATTGGGTTTTGCAGGGAGGTTTCTTTGCTGAGTACATTCAACAGAGGTATTTGAAGAGAGAAAGAGAAAAGGAGCTTTTTAGTAACTTTTTATAGATTAAATGTTACTGAATATGTTTCAAATATTTAGTTTGATTGAGACATTCAAAGCTGACTTGTGAACGCCCAGCTTACGACCCTTTACATGAGGAAAGGGGTTATTCTTCTAGAAGAAGAAATGTCTAGAGCTCATAAAAACATGCACTCTTCATACATTTTCAAGAATACCATAAAATTCTACTGCTTGGTAAGTATCTTCTCCCACAAGCTGCTATATAGGCAACCTATAGTCCCAGGATGATCATGTAGATACGTAACATGTGCCTTGGAGTTGTCACCCTCATATTCTGCAGCTTATTTACATGATAGACAAGGGATACTCAGCTTTCTTATCCCTTTTAACAGTCTTCTGGTTAATACATTGCAATCATCTTTTGCCTGATTTACAGTCAGTGTTAAAAACTTACAGCCAGTAAAAAAATGCTGAGTTGTGGAGATTCAATAAAAAACAAACAGGTGAAGTTGCCATCAGTAAAACTCCAAGTGAAGCTGAGAATTGAATTCAGACAAGTCTTGTGGTGGGTAGTAAATGAGGGCTGAGGCAGTTAGATTTAAATCATCATTTTTTATTTAGGATGTAGATCTATGCTTGGTTGAAATAGTGCATGAAGTCTCCAAAAAATACTCGTGTTGAGCAGCAGGATGAGTGAGAAAAGAGGCTGAGAACTAAAGAAAATGGTATTTTTACCAAAACAGCAGCAACTCTCTCGCTTCACTTCTCTGTTCCCTTCTGCTGCTGTAAAAAACAAAAACAAGCCTTCTCCACATCTGAAGCACATCCTGTGGTACTGTTCTTTCTGTGCTCTGTTTGTATTAGCATTTTAAAACTGAGGGAACAGCTGCGTTCTGGGGAGGATCCAGCCTTTCTCCTCCAGCTCGTTATATCCATTTACAGGGGGAGGGAGAGAGGGAGAAGCAGAGGGAGGAGAGGGGGGGTTTACACTGAAGCCGAGACCCTCGCTGCTCAATTTGTTTGGCCACCAAGTCTTTGCTCGTTAGCTTGACAGACGGTGCTGTCACCCAGGATGGCCCAATTCAGTGCCAACCACTTGTCTTATGCTTTGGCTGAAGAGAAGAGCTGGATCTGACCACACTGAGATCCGAAAGGACATCGAATAGGGAGGAAAAAAATGAATCTTCTGAATAGCCTCAGGTTAAACATGAATTAGTAGGAAGCAGCTTCAACAGCCAAGATGGGATCAAACAAGACTTGACTAATGTGTTGCTGGAAGAGCTTGCCAGAGGTTTTATTCATTGCTTGTGGGTTTTTTTTTCCTCTCTAGCCCCTGAAGGGAAACGTTCCTCCGGGCTAACAGCTGTGTGGGTAGCTCGTAATCGCTTCGCAGTCCTGGATCGAATGCATTCGGTAAGGGGATGAAGTTAATAGGGTCATCTTTTTAATGAGGTATATTGTCATTTGGAAGCATAAGGGAGATTGGGTTTAATGGAATTATTAGAGATCCAAGTAGACTGGCAAATCATTGTCAGTAGAGAGCAGGTTGTGGATGTACACAAAGAAATATAACGCAGTGAAAATTTAATGAGCTGAAATATTATTTAACTTGTTTTATTGGAAATGTTAACCCAGTTGCTAGAAACCTGCTACAGGAGGTGAGTACAGCAATGAAAACTGACCAGAACAAGGCTGTGAAACCACCCAGGTCACTTTTTTTAACATGAAAGTCATAGGGAAATGGTGAAAATACAGGTTAGATTTTTAAATAAAGCTCTTTGTTCTCACTTATGGACTGCAATAGGGAAAAGCAAGGGGGAAAAAAATAATGGAAGGTTTTCCTTGCTTTAATTTACTTGATGTGGAGGGGAAGAAAAGTCTTGCACTTTGCCCCACGCAGGATATTGTTTTGTGTTTATTTTTGGTTTTGTGGGGTTTTTTTTTTTTTGTTTGTGTTTTGTTTGTTTGGTTGGTTTGGGTTGTTTTTTTTAAATTCAGGGTGTTTTTTTCCTTAGTAAATTCAAGTTTATTTCATACCTGTTCTGTTACTCCTCCCTTCTCCTTCTCCACTTTCTATTCTCACCTCTCAACTTCCTCATTTCCTTTTTCTTTCTACCCTGTGTGTTCTCTCTCACTTTTTCCCTGGTATTTATTTTATTCATATGCTGCTCATTGTAGAGAGGGGTTGCAAACTGTAGCAGCCAGCTGGTAATGACAGCAGTGGGGCTGAAAAGATATGTGGTGACTGCACCCCAGCAAATTTATGGTTGGGTTTTCACAGAATCCTGTTTTCTAGCAGGATAAATTCTGATCCTGCTTCGAGAAAGGCTTCAGCTCTTCATTTGGCTTCTTGTTGATGAGTTCAGCTATATAAAAATTCTCAATTAAAATAATCTTAAATTTCTTTGTGAAATCTACCTGACTGTTCCTTGTGTTGTTACATTTCCTCTCATCAAAATGACAGATCCTGATCAAAAACCTGAAGAATGAGATCACAAAGAAGGTGCAGGTGCCAAACTGTGATGAGATTTTCTACGCTGGCACGGGGAACCTGCTGCTGAGAGATGCCGACTCCATCACCCTCTTCGACGTGCAGCAGAAGCGGTGAGATCCTGTCTGCTGGGAGAAGTTTTAATGTTGTTAATCCTGCTTGCCTGTGTCCTCTGGGGACAAGTAATAGCTATTAATGCACTTCAGAATTTAGCATCAGCTGCAGGCTGTGTCAGGCTGATCCAAACCACGGCTAACAACTGTTAGGAAGAGCGAAACCCAAACTCTCCATCAGAAAACCCAAACTCTCCATCAGAAAACCCAAACTCTCCATCAGAAAACCCAAACTCTCCATCAGAAAACCCAAACTCTCCATCAGAAAACCCAAACTCTCCATCAGAAAACCCAAACTCTCCATCAGAAAACCCAAACTCTCCATCAGAAAACCCAAACTCTCCATCAGAAAACCCAAACTCTCCATCAGAAAACCCAAACTCTCCATCAGAAAACCCAAACTCTCCATCAGAAAACCCAAACTCTCCATCAAAAAACCCAAACTCAATCAAAAAACCCAAGCTCTCCATCAGAAAACCCAAACTCTCCATCAGAAAACCCCAACTCTCCATCAAAGAACCCCAACTCCATCAAAAAACTCAAACTCTCCATCCAAAAACCCAAACTGAAAACCCAAACTCTTGGTCAGAAAACCCAAACTCTCCATCAGAAAACCCCAACTCTCCATCAAAGAACCCCAACTCCATCAAAAAACTCAAACTCTCCATCCAAAAACCCAAACTCTCGATCAAAGAACCCAAACTCTCCATCAAAGAACCCAAACTCTCCATCAAAAACCCCAAACTCAATCAAAAACCCCAAACTCAGTCAAGCCAAACTCACCTCATGCCTCATCCCTTGAGTTTTATATCTGCTCAAAATGCTCTTTTGCCAGCGTGTTTGTGCTGCTAAATGTGTTGGTGGTCACGAAGAGACAGGCCAGGAGTTGGTGCTTTTGAGCATCTTTTTCTGTTTGAGAAGGTTCTGGATTATTTGCAGACAGATAATGGTGTCTGTTGATTGCTAATGTCCCAGAACTTGCCTCATTTCCTGTTCTTTGTCTTTCTAATATAGTTGGGAACGTTACCAGTAAATTAAATGATGCAAATGCTGCTTGGAAAGACCTTATTTTCCTCGTTCTGTTAAATTTCCCCCTAAAACCCCCTCAGAAATTTAAGCTTTGAAGTCACTTGTCACTGGAATCTATTTGTTATTGCACAGGTATGGAGGAGAAGTTTGTTTTGCTGAATGGAATTGCAGAGACACTCAGTTCTGCCTCATGATTTTATAGCTCCAGGGTGACAAAAAAGAGCTTCAGAGCATCTGCAAATTGGGTTCAGGCTGTTGGGTGATGGTAGTTATCATCCAAAGCTTGAGATCATAGACTGTTGTGAGTTGGACCCTCAAGGATGATGGAGTCCAACACAGGACAATCCCAACATTCACACCATGTCCCTGAGGGCCTTGGCCAAATGCTGCTGGAATCTTGTCAGGCTTGGTGCCATGAGCACCTCCCTGGGGAGCCTGTTCCAGTGCTCCACCACCCTCTGCCTCAAGAACCGTCTCCTCATGGCCAACCTCACCCTCCCCTGCCACATCTTCCTGCCATGTCCTCTGCTCCTGGCATTCGTTGGTGGCCAGAGAGAAGAGATCAGCGCCTGCCCCTCCTCTGCCCCTTGGGAGGAAGTTCTAGACCCCCAGGAGATCTCCTCTCAGTCTCCTCTTCTCCAGGCTGAACAACCCAAGTGCCTTCAGCCTCTCCTCACACCCTTCCCCTCTAAACCCTTCACCAATTTTGAGGCCAAAGGTTACTGTAGAGCTTGCTGTGGAGGGGTGTTGTTCAACTCCCTGATGTCAGTGCTGTCCTTTCCCAGAACTCTGGCCTCAGTGAAGATCTCCAAGGTGAAATACGTCATCTGGTCGGCTGACATGTCCCATGTAGCTCTGCTGGCTAAACATGGTAAGCAGTGGTGGGGTGCAATGTTTCACCTGGATCCTTCCTTGGGAGCAAAGTCACTGCTAGAGAAACCATCCAGTGGTGACTGGCAGTGAAGGTGCAGCTGAAGACATTCATAGTGTAGGTCCTGCCACTCTGTCTCTTCTGTAAGCTTCTAAAACAGAGGGTGGCTTCTGCTCCTCAAAATGATCCAACTCATCTCTTTCATAAAACAAAGGCAGATGGTGACAGTTTAGTCGTGGTTGCCATCATCTCCTTAATGTCTCATACTCTGAATATAGTTCCTGTTGGTGGGATTGTGGAAGAGGCAGATGTTTAACAGCAGAGGCTTTCTCTAGCTTTACTTCTTTTGGCTTTCCTTTCCAGCCATCATGATCTGCAACAGAAAGTTGGAGTCACTGTGTAACATCCATGAAAACATCCGTGTCAAGAGCGGTGCCTGGGATGAAAGTGGTGTTTTCATCTATACCACCAGCAATCACATCAAATACGCTGTCACCACAGGGTGAGTCTGGCAGTTGTACACCAAGTCCTTCAACTGGGAGGTCTTGTGCAGATCACCATGGGGTGTTTTTTTTTTGATAGACACCAAAGCTGGTGCTTGTGAAATCACAGAATCACAGAATGGTGGGGTTGGAAGGGATCTCAGGAGATCATCTAGTCCAACTCCCCTGCCAAAGCAGG